CCCATTTTTTATGCAAACTTGATTTATGACTTTGATCTTATTTTAAATTATTTAAAAATTAAATAATTTATACAGTATCTGTCACTTTCTAAGGCTCCTTCCTTTGTTCTCGCTTTGCTTTTCTGCATTTTCCCATCTTTCCAACCCTTTTCAATCTGTGCACATTTCCTTTTCTGCATGGTGGGGCAGCAGTGACATGAGACAGCTGATAACTACTTGATACTTTCTTCACAGGGAGAAGACCTGCAGGAACTTTTCCCACTGTTGCTTATTTGGGCCAGAACTATACTACCACCATTCATAGTCTGGTTTGATTTTTGCTGCTTACGACTTGGAGCTTGGCCACCCCACCGCTTACCGGGGTCTAAAAAGGTGTGCTGTGCTGCTCTGAGCTGGAGTGTGTGCCTGCAGGTTCGTTCTCGACTGGCAGCAAATCAAAGGTGGTGCCACCTAGCATCAGTCTCCTTCTCTCCAGGCTGAGTTCAGATCTATACCTCAAGCTGGCCTTAACTGAGACTGCAGAAAGAGCTATCAATACCCAGCTGATGTAGATCCACAGTAACCTGACAACAAAAAAGGCTGGTGCCCTATACGTGTGTGAACTAAAATAAATAATTGCCCCATAAAAGGGGAACTTAAATGAGTATGGGAAGATATTGCTGAAAAGAAAAAAACCTAAAACAATCCAAAAAACCTGAAACAAATTGGTACGGGGATTCTGGAGCTTCAGGGAGCCATGAAACCATTTGAGCTGCATACAAAAGAGGTGAAGTGGGTCTGATGATGAGACTTTCTGTGTCACTGAAACAGCACACAGAGTGGCAAGCTTCATCTGGTCCACTTGCAGGTGACACATGAGGAGGGGAGGCAAAACCAGACACAGAGGAGAACTCCCTTTGCTCCCTGATTTTTTTAACTCTGGATCTGAGGCCATATGGCTGCTGAAGCCAAGGACTAGTTGCTTAGCCGGTGTGAGGCCATTGCTGCTATCAAGGTTAAAGTTGCTTAAGCTGAGGTTGAGTGGCTTGGCAGTGAGCAACAGCACGAGTGAACTGTGACATGGCCATTTGCTGAGCTGCAAAGGAGGTAACTTAAAGAGGAGCTGGGGCCCAAAGCAGTCCTGGTGGCAACACTAATGACTATCAGTCAAACACTGATGGACTGAGATCCTCATCGCCACTCCTCAGTGGTGCTGCTGAGTTTGCAACTCCACGGCTGCCCACTGATCTCTCAAATGGCTGCACTGTGTGGGTTTCTGCTGCACTGGCCACCCTGATGCATGGAGACCTTCTTGCAGGAGCTAATCCAGTCCTGGTGATGTGCATGATGCCTCTCTGGGGGAGATTCAGCAACAAACCGCTGCCTAGGGGACTTGGCAACCTCCTCCATGGGGAGGCACCCTTATAAAGTATTGATTAACCAGCTCTCATGGGATTGCTTGGGAACTCTTATATGGAGACATCAGTCAAGCTTGGACTGCAGTGGAATAGCTGGGAGGACAGGTTATGAGTACAAATCAGAGAGCCTAGTGTCTCATGCTAGTCCTGGCCTTACTACTAAGCACTGAGGCAGTTCTTAAACTTGTGTTGCCATCATAACCCCCGTGTGAAAACCCGTTGAGAGACAGCACAAGAGAGAGCCATGTCCCTGAGGGAGAAGGGAAAAATAAATAAATCTGATCATCAGGTTTATCTGTACATGGGGAAATGAGACGAGGGGGTCAAATGATTCACCCAAGGTCACATGAGTTGCTGGTGGCAATGGCATCAGCTGTCTTCACTGTCCTACTCTGGCATTTTCACTGTTTCACCTTCCCTTCTCTTGACTTGCCTTAGCTCTTCAACTTCAGTTCGGGCTGAATAAAACTGCCCCCCCTTTCCCTCTCCTCCTATCGATCCCTCCATCTCCTGCTGGCATTTGCGAGGTGCCAATCACCCTGATATCTAAGAGCCAGCAGTCCAAGGTGGATTAATCGGGACCGAGGGAACATCACAGAGCCCCAGCGCTCCCTTCCTTCCCTTTTGTGTGAGACTGTGAGATGAAGCAGATAGGGAGAAACACAGATAGGGAGGCTGATTGAGAGACAGCATCTGAGCACGCTCTGGGTGTACAGGCACCTCACGGAAATGTGATCCCATCATTTAGACAGCTCTGAAGTCCCCAGGGTAATTGGTGCCACCAGCTTGTCATATCCAATGGGTCAAGATCTAAACCTCATTCTTTCCCCTTTATTAGCATATTTACCAGGAAAAAAAAGAGGGTGGGTCCAATTCTGCTTTCACGGAAATCAGTAGGAAAAATATTCATGTGTTTCAGGTGGAACAGGAGCAGACCCAGGAATTGTTTTCACTCTTCCTTCAGCAATAAATCCTCACTCAAGCACATAGCCTTATAATGTCCTGTATTATCTGGTGAGAAATAGATGGAGGGAACTTTTGGGGGGTAAAGGTGCAGACTGTATCCTCTTTTATGTCACTATAAACCTAGGCTGGAATTAGAAAAATTACTCTAGATTAAAGATTATGCCAGAAGAGTTCTTGGATGAGAGCATCGAGACCGTGTTGTCTTTACCACCTCTCCAGCTGCCTGATCAATGCCTGTTGTGTAACATTGGAGCCACATCTCCTGCCTGACAACATCTGCAGATGTTTGTCCTGAGCTGTCCATGGGTTGCCTCCTGTTAATTCCCGTGGTACTTGGGAGCACAAATGCTGCATCCTTCTGCCAGGCTGCTGGCCGCTGACCTGGGCTCAGCTGTGATTTACTGTCTCTTTTCCTCTTCCTGCAGCCTACGCTGGCCAGGAGGACAGTTAAGCACAACCAGGCTGGGGATGGGACAGCTCTTCCATCACGTGAGGAGGGGAGCAGGGGACAAAGGAAGAGACAAAGATTGCTTTTGACTGGGATTAAAAATGAACAGTGCAAAATGGAAGGAAAAATAGAATTTGTCTAATGGGGAGAGAAAAAAAAAGTCCAGATTACCACCAGGAGCTGGGAGGAGAGGGGAAACTTCTGTGGAGCTCTACAGCACATCCTCATGACTCTATATGGAAGTGTTCAGTGAGGCACAGGACACTCAGTGGAGGGCAGAAATTTCAAGGCCCTCAAGTTAAAGAAAGAACATATGGATGTGATGGGAAATCCATGGTGCCAACGCATGAGAAAGAAATAGGCAGGGAAGAAAGCAGAGCCTTGTGGGCAGTGCGCTGGAGGGAGTATGGGTACACTGGAGTGTGATTCCTGAGTTGGCCCTGTATACCTAAGGCAAGGCATTTGGTGTCTCTCATTCAGTAAGATGTTACTCTGGAAAATGGGATTAATGGTACTTCCCTCCTTGCTCTGGTTTTGGCTGGGATAGAGTTAATTTTCTTTCTAGTAGCTGATAGAGTGTTATGTTTTGGATTTAGTATGAGAATAATGTTGAGAACACACTGACGTTTTCAGTTGTTGCTAAATAGTGTTTATACTAAGTCAAGAACTTTTCAGCTTCTCATGCCCAGCCAGCGAGAAGGCTGGAGGGGCACAAGAAGTTGGGAGGGGACACAGCCAGGGCAGCTGACCCAAACTGGCCAAAGGACTATTCCATGCCATGTGTTGTCATGTCCAGTACATAAACTGGGGGGAGTTGGCTGGGGGCAGGGGCAGATCACTGCTTGGGAACTAACTGGGCATCAGTCAGCAAGTGGTGAGCAAATGCATTGTGCATCATTTGTTTTGTCTATTCCAATTCTTTTATTATTATTATTATTGTCATATTGTTATTATTATTACTATTATCATTATCAGTTTCTTTATTTCTGTCCTATTAAACTGCCTTTATCTCAGCCCATGAGTTTTACTTTTTTTTCTCCAATTCTCTCCCCCATCCCACTGGGCAGGGGGAAGTGACCGAGCGGCTCCATGGTGCTTAGTTGCTGGCTGGGGTTAAACCACGACACCCCCGTACACAAATTTAGCACAGAGTACAAGAGGGCCACATTTTACCACCAAATGGATGAAGCACCTAGGTGGTGCACTGTCACGGCCTGCAGATCTGCTCCAGAGAAGGCAGCCAACGTCACCTGGCAGTATTCTGTCTGCCTGCTGCAGGGATCACCTCTACCTTCCTCTGAAATTTCTGGCAGAGAGACCAAGTTACCTGAACTCAATCTTGTCTTGCAGGTCCTTGTTAATTATAGCCTAAGGAAAGGTAGTTATGCCAGAGCTTCGTCAAGAGCCCAGGTCCCTGTACAGTCACATTTTCTCAGGGGCCCAGGGTCCAGGTTTGGTATGTAAGTAGGATACCTGAAGTTAGACAGTGCAACACTGCTTTAAATAGCTGATGCGTTTTCCCAGTGTTCTTAAATCATACTGTTTTGGGGAGCCAGGACTGCATGTGTGTGTATGTGTGCTTGTCCATTTTAGTATTATCTAGTATGCTTTCATGAATCTAAAAGCACTTCTGTCAACAGCTGCCTTTTTATCCTGTGGTCACTCCAAAGGTACCCACAATGTTGCATGGTGCAGCAGGGGCCTGGCCGAATGGAGCAGAGCCGTCTCCTCCCTTCAGCTCAGTCTGTGTGGCCTGATAGAAGAGGAGGGCCAGAAAGGTATTTGTGCTCTCACAAAACATCTTTGGCACCAGACGGTGCTGACGTGGGGCAGAGAACTAGTATAAGCTGAATTCAGGCCTATTTTATCCAAATCCTCAAAGGCTAGTTGTGTTTGGATTTGACAGCGATGGCTTAGACGCCATAGGAAGTGTTTTGCATAGGTGCACCCATGATCACAGTGTGGTTACTGCTAGAATTGGCTATTGCACCTTTGAGACTTACCTGGGAGATGCCCTAGTCTACCCTGGATGGCATGGCTTAGTTTGCTCTCACCATGTAACTAGTATAATGGAGAAATCACTGGTTCCTCCTCTGCCCAGTTGTTCCTCTGCTCATGTGTGCCTTTGTGCAGTTCTAGGAGCTATTCCTGCTCCCATGAAAATGCATAGAACCCGTGTCTATACTTACTGCCTGTGCATAGGCGCCATATGCTCCAAACTGGATGGCCATGGGGTTGAACATGCCCATTTGTCCTGCCATTTGCTGCATGCGTCTCATTGTACGCTCCTTGTCTGTATCTGCAAACTTCACCACCAGGCTTGAAGAGGCTCCCTGCAGGACAGGAGACAAAGGGAGACAGACAAGGGAATTAGCCTGATATACGGTTGGCTCATGCAATCCATACATCTAACGCAGATTTCGTAGCATGGGATCCGGATGGTGATGATTTTGGCCATGCAGCCTCTCAGGCCTTTTGAATTTGACCTTTGCAAGAGGCTGAGAGCATCAGGAAGGAAGTAAAGGACCCTGGAGGGTGAATGACTGAAGCCAGCAGCCCGGTTCCTAGTTTCCTCCAAAATTCAAACTTCCCAGCCTGTCATTAATGTTGTCTCTGCAAAAGTTGTTGCCTTATTCTTTCAACATACAGAAGACCTTCTGGCCCAGCATGTTGTCCTCATCAGAGGACAAAGATCTGGACTCAGTGCAGCAAAATGTAGGAGCTTTTGCTGGATGAATGTGGTAGGATTTGTGAACTGATTTATTTTGATGGAATGTGTTAGCTCTGTGCATGCTACACCCCCTGAGCTGCATCACCCTTTCACACTGCCATGTCTCGTAACCCCCATGCCCAGTGAGAAATCTATGCCAGCCTTGGAGGTAGGATTAAGTATGCTGAGCAGAGTGCATATCTCATCATGAAGCAGCATCTTTTCAGCACTGTTATACTGGGGGGGTGGGGGCAAAAATAGTACCCGATGGACCTAAGTTTCCTCTCCATGAACAGTATGAAATAGTAGGAAATAGAGGCTACCACAAAAGAGCCCACATTTAATGCTACACTTTTCCAGGAAAGCTTTATAATGTTTGGGTTATGTCTGCAGTCAACACCGGTGCAGAACTACAGATGATCATCCGAGCTGCCTTTAGAAGTCTGTGGAAAAATGTAGAACTTTTGGGAATGAAAGAAATCCCTCTTCACCCCAAAATGAGATGAAAGGTCAGTAACTGTGATTCTTAAATTTCTGACAGGAGGCAGAGATGGGAAGAAACAGATCTGCTTAGGAAGGAAAGCATTGATTTTTTTTGGCTGGCTCCAAGGATGGCCTAACTTCATGGCTTGTTTGATTCCCCACAGTGCAGCCTTCCCAGGGGAAGAGGGGTGCAGGGAAGGGGGGTTCTGACAGCAGCCCCGACAGCAGGCAGACAGTTGCCTCGGGAGCTGGGCTGCCACCAAGCCTGGGGAGACGGACAGGTGAGCCGTCAAGAGACTGACAAAGAGCAGCTGAAGTCACTGTGCTCCCATGGTACGCTTCCCATTTGACACACTGGTATTTGCTGATGGAAATACAGTCAGCGGGGAAATTGCCAGTTCAGCCTCTGGCTGTGGCAGTAGAGGAAGACCAGGTCCATGCCAGAGGATCTGGGCTGTTGCGAGGCCCCTGATTTTCTAGCAGAGGTGGGATTGCCTGGGATTGCACAGGGGGAATGTTATTAACTGGCTTACACACATCCCTATGTGCCTGTAATCAGAAAAAAAATAGTCTCGGTGAAAGCAGAGTTGCTCTGCTACAAATTGGGAATAGCGTAGTGAACAACAACTATGGACATACATATATATAAGTCCAAGCTATGCATATTCAATAGCCTCTCCAGATCCTCAGTTATGAATAAAGACTTGAGGAATTAACTTGCTAAAAAAAACCCCAAAACAATCTAAGGCCACACAATGAGCGGTGTTCCCCTGGATTAGCAGCCTGTTCTGGGAGGAAGTGATTTTCATTGGCAAAGAATCTTTCTTTTTGACCTGTTAGTCTCTCTCTAATAAATCTATAACCCACTCAAACAATGTGGTGAAGAGCAAGGGGTTGAAAGAAGTGCTTCAGGAAGACAAAGGGATGGAGAGATGAATGCTCTATTCAAAGGTGGAGAGCAGTCTTCAGAAGTTATTATAAGAGCAAAACAGAAAGCAGGGCGGGGAGAAAAAAAAAATGTAGCCAAAATTCCCCTGCATTTCTGCTCAAGGCTGGGCGACTTTTCATTTTTTTTTAGTCACATGATGTAGTTATTGATCCTTCCCCAAATCACACTCTTAATTGCAGCTCATCGACAAATGAATATTTTAATGCATACATTTCCTGCTAATTATCACCTGGACCAGTCCTTAATTAGATTTCAACACTCATTTAATTAACCCTGATCCAAGAGACTGTTTGGTAACCTGAATCTAATGATTTAAACCTATTTGCAGCTGTATTGGAGGGAGGGAGGCACTGGTCCGCAGCAGACTGGGCTGTTCAGAGCTGCTGTCGTGATTTGCAGAGCAGAGGCTGCAGCATGGTGGGCACAATGCAGCATGGAGGATTTTGAAAGTGAATAGGGGGAATGAGCATTCATTTTGCAGATGGGTTTTGAAGATGTGACCTGCTCTAGTCAGCAGGACAGAGAAGTGAAATAAGTTGGTGTCTTCTTCCTTCCCCTTTTCTTTCTATCTCTATTTGCCCTGGAAGTCTTAGGGCCAGACAACTGCCTCAGGAAATTGCTGATGCCTCACACTGTTGAAAACCAAGCTATTATTGTAGATGGGATCATGAAAACATGGGTAACCTCCACATGAATCTCTTGCCCCTCGAGTGTTCTTTCCTCCTGATGTGAGTCATAGTGACTGCACAGCAGCCGTTTGACCCAATGGGATCTAAGGCTGCCTCTTATGAGATGTTTTTCTGGGTTGCTTGTCGCAGCAGGACTTCAGGACTCTTTGAACATCACTATCATATACACGGGGCAGAAAGGCCATTAGCAAATAGAAGCAAGTTAGAGCACATACTACAAAGAAAGAGGAGAAAAAGCAGGGGGTTTTAAGAGTGCTCTGCTATGAGATACGCATGTAAGCAGTTAAAGATATGTAGCCAGTAGAGATGCTGCATTGCTCTTGAATATGAAGATTGACCTTGGGATTGATGTTTTCTGTATGTGGTTCCTCATGTGCAGCCCTTTCACGTGGCCTAAAGGAAATCAGGCAGTAAACTCTATCAGATCACCCAGTGCAGGATTTTTAGCAGAGGAGCCAAACAGTGCTGTTCATCTACAGCAGAACAAGACTACTTTCTACTCCAGTGACTCCTACTAATCCACTGGATAACATTAGAAATGCCCCAGAATGGGCCAGATTTTCCATGGGGTAAAAACTGCAGAGTCCTTCATCTGGACTATTTATTGCTTCCAAAAGCAGTTAAACCATGGTGTAAATCAGCCATTGTCTGCTGACAAAGGCAATAGGTCCTGTCTGCTTGGTCATTTATTAGTAATACATAATCTCCCTCTTGCTCTCTCTGGTTATTGGACTGGACTTTATATTTCACCAACACCCAAGAGAGTTACAGTGGGTAAGTCAATAATGTTTGAAATGTACTTTGAGATCTGTGTGTTAATTCTGCATTTTATTGAGGGAAGGACCTGTTTATTTCTCTACCCTGCAGATCCACAGTCAAGAGACCCTATCATGAAAGTAAACATTCCTGCCGGTGCCTCTGCAATAGGCTACTTGGAATTGGCATTTATCTCCTTTCCCATCAGATCAACCTCCTTTTTCAAGTGCTTTGATATCTACTGATGAAAAGAATAATATAAGGACTAAGTGTTATGCTTTCCCTATTCTCTCTTGGGCCAGCAAGTCTACTTAATATGACTATCTTGCTTCCCGTCCCCCTCCCATGCGTGGTAATGAATTGCTCCCCTTAGTCAGCAGAGTCAGATGCTCTCTAGGCTGGCGGGGCGAGGGAAAAGATGGAGGAAAAATCACTCTGCACCACACTCACTTTGTAATCCCTAATCAGAGTCCTCTGTGGGAAAAACTAATTTCCCAGCCTGTCTTGACATGTGAAATAAAGTCATTCTTGAAAATGGGAGCTTGACAGGTCACTTGTGAAATTTCATATTCAACTAAAAATAAAATATCCATCCATTGATATTTCATTTAAAGATAAAGGAAAACAAATCTTTTGCCTGGTTTTTGGGACTGTTTCCCATTAGTTATGGCCCTCCAAATGGAGTCTATATACAAATTAAGCAAAAGCTTTTCAGGAGACCAAATAATACTGCACGGCATCAGGGAAAGTTGCTTCTCCCTGGAACAATATTCATAGGAAAAGTTTTGTGAAGATGTTTCCTTGCAGAATACAAACCTGAATTTTCTTTTCCTGTCAGCCCTGTAAGTCTCCTTGGATTCAGTAGGTTACCAATCTCTACAGATAGTTAGACATCTTTTTCTTGCAAAACTGATGAATTTGGGCCTAATTTGCCAAGGCCATTAAGTCATGTTTCACTTTAAGCTTAGTGAATGTCTTATTGGAGGTAAGCATACACTTACATACTTTACTGCAACACTGTCTCTCTCATATAGGTGGACTTTTATGTCTTGGTTAGCTCAAATGGAGTCAGTTAAAAGTTCTGGGCCAAAATATTGGAAAAGGGCTTGTTACATTAAAGTTCCAGTGACTAAAGCTCTTGAGTATGAGATCTGAATGTGCACAGATCCTATTAAGTACCTTCCAAAATGTCAGCCATGCACACCAGCTAAGATGCTTAAATGAATAGGTGCTGCTGGATACTTCTTGTTTGGGCAGTCAGACTACCTTCCTAAGTGTCAGCATGTGAATGGGGTTGCTTGTGCTGGAAATTTTACCTTAGCACTTGCTTTGTGACTGCAAAGCGGAGCTGGGAGGATGCTGACCTTCAGCAAGCCATTCAGGCTAGTATTTCCACACAAGGATCCTTGACATTAGGGCCTGAAAGCCAGTGGAGGATTTCTTTGCTTTGGGCTCTGTCAGATCAGGCCATTTGGTGTGATGTCTCCTAAGTTTGAAAACAAAATCAGATTTTCTTTGGAAATGCCTGTGTAGCTCTTCTGAAAATAGGGCTGCTGAATTAGCCAGTGGGGGTTTGACCCCAACCTGGGATTTTAGACAAGCAAAGAAGAAACTACTGTCCAATGAAAACTGTAGAGCAGAGGGAATTTTAGCTAGGTAGAAATGTAATTACCCATGCCGGAAGATGGCCAGATGACCAGGACTAACATCCCTCCCCTCCTGTGAAATATGCTATGTTTTTCTGTA